GGGGAACTTCAACCAAAAATCCAAGAAATAGAGAACAAAAGTTCATAATCCCACTCTGCTTAGCAACCACCACCAACTCCGCCGCAATTTGGCAATTTTATTCTCTCATCTTCCGATCTACGATGTCATACTCTCTCTTCCTCACCAAAATTCACTGGGACCCAAATCAGAGCCTGATGTGGTTGTGCCACCAAGTTTATGGTTCTGAATTCAAATCATACCAGTATTTTTCTAGGGTTGACCTTTATTGTGTGTTCTTAATAAATCACATATCATTTTTTCTCCAATGTTCTGTATTTAACTTGTTCGAAGACTTTAAAGCATGTAGACACGGTTCTTGGCTCTTCCATTTGTATTAGATTCTTGGTCATTCGCATCATCCAACAAATAAAAGTTATAGTAGAGCTTGCTTCCTCGCAGAAAGATTTCAAGATCCACAGGATTTGATCCGGCTAAAACTATGAAGGAGGCGATGTATTTGTGAAAGAAAAAAAAATAAAAGAAAAAATTATCATACCAAGTAACGATGATGAGGGATTTTATTTCTTTAATTAAATATGTATTATAAATTTCATATGATGATGTGTATATATATGCCAACTAGAAAAAATGATCATACCTAGTAACGATGATGAGGGATTTTATTTCTTTAAAGAGTAATCTGCTCAAAAGATCCTTTACATATGGAAGAAAACTTAATTTGGTCCTTTATGTTAAAAACTCACTTATTTGGTCCATTACATTTGTCTTTTCAACTAATTTGGTCCTTTTTATTTTTTTTGGCCCTTTACGTTTGTGGGTTCCTGGGCTGACCAATTCTTGCTCAACTCAACAGGAGCATTTTCGGTAATTTTTAAATCTCAGATTTTCAAAATATGTTAAAATAAAAAAAATATTAAAATAATACTAAATATATTATATTAATTTATAATTTATTATTAAATAAGAAAAAAATTTAAAATTCAAAATTCAAATATAAAATTATTAAAAAATTAAGTAAGATAAAAAAACTCCAAAAACTTTTTTTTTACCCGTCGGCCCAATCGAAATTTTTTACCCTTGAATTATTATGTTTTATATCATGTGGGGCCTACAACTAATTTTTTCATTCCTCTTATTTAATATTTTTTTCGTGAGTTATTTTGGTATAACGAAAAAAAAATACCGAATAAGGGCCCCATATGATAAATCATATTTTAAATCAAATCCCAAACTCAAATCAAAAACTAAAATAAACCATTGTCCATATAAGCCCTCTGTTTTTATCATGTGGGGACCATATTTAATTTTTTTCTTTACCTTTATTCAGTATTTTTTTTTCGTTATAACAAAATAACTCACAAAAAAAATACTGAATAAGGGAAAAGAAAATATTAGATGTGAATCCCAAATAATATTTTTTAATATTTTTCGTGAGTTATTTTGGTATAACGAAAAAAAATACCGAATAAGGGCCCCATATGATAAATCATATTTTAAATCAAATCCCAAACTCAAACCAAAAACTAAATCAAAAACTAAAATAAACCATTGTCCATATAAGCCCTCTGTTTTTATCATGTGGGGACCACATTTAATTTTTTTTCTTTACCTTTATTCAGTATTTTTTTTCATCATAACAAAATAACTCACAAAAAAAATACTGAATAAGGGAAAAGAAAAAATTAGATGTGGATCCCACATGATAAAAACTGAATAATTCAAAGGTAAAAACTTTCGGTTGGGCCAACGGGTTAAAAAACATAAATCAGATTTTGGATTTTTTTAATAATATTATATTTGAATTTTGAATTTTTAAATTTTTTCTTATTTAATAATAAATTAAATTAATATAATATATTTAGTATTATAAATTAATTTTTCTTAATATTTTTACACCACCATTGGGCCACCTCCACCACCACTGCCGCCGCCGGCTGGTCGGAGTCTGGCCAACTAAACCAGAATCCGGCTGACCGGTGATGGTCCGGAGGAGGTGGTTCGGTGGTGTTGGATAAAAATTGGGTAAAAATAAAGTTTTGATTAGGGCCCACGGATAAAAAAAATTTGATTTTGATTTTTTTATTTTTCAATTTTTTAATAATATTATTTTTGAATTTATAATTTTTTTGTTTTTTCATTTTTTAATAATAAATTATAAATCAATGTAATATGTTTAGTATTATTTTAATACATTTTCTATTTTTAACATATTTTGAAAATATAAGATTTATAAGTTACCGAAAATGTCCCTGTTGAGTTGACCAATAATTGGTCAGCCCAAGAACCCACAAATGTAAATGGTCAAAAAAAATAAAAAGAACCAAATTAGTTGAAAAGACAAATGTAATGGACCAAATGAGTGAGTTTTTAATGTAAAGGACTAAATTAATTTTTCTGCCAAATGTAAAGGACGTTCTAAGCAGATTACTCTTAATTGTATTATAAATTTCAGAGTAATGATATTCCACTATACTAATTTAACTTTACTAATAACTCTATTTACGTGGCAATCTAGATGGCATATCCACATCACCATTTGAATTTATAATAATATTTTTTAAAAAAAAAACCCTTGTTAGTTTCCAAATGTTTGTAAGAAAAACATTTAAACAAAAAAGAAAAAATTATGTTTCTTCTCCGGCTGCAAAATGGGAACTTCAACAATGGACAAAGAAATAAAGAACAAAATTCAACATCGGAGTCTGGTTCGTACACCACCAAATTGACAGCCGCCATTGGGCAAATTTGTTCTCCCATCTACAACCACGGCCAAAAGTCTCTTTCTTCACCAAAATTCACAATTCCCCGCCTAATTCAGTGATTTGTAGAATTAATCAATCCTTCTTAAACAATCTACGTGAAAAGGCTCACTAAATTGGTGTCGTCTCTTCTTGAACCCTCACTAAATTAGTTCAGTGTCGTAGACCGGTGACAACAAACATCGACCCTTAAGTATTACGGTTGCCTGTTGTCTGTCGATGAAAAAATGATAAGTTTAAGTTATTGAATAGACGATGAAACCCTAGATTTGATATAGGATGAATTTTGGAGAAGGCTGTACAGGATATGTGTTTGTGAAAGAAAAAATAAATTAAAAGAAAAAGAAAATCATAGTTACGATAATCTTGGGGTTTTTTTTTTTAATTATGACCATCAATTCTTATGGTGATGTGGAATGCCAATTAGATTGCCATGTAAGTAGAGTTATTAGTAGAGTTAAATTAGTAGAGTGGAATATCATTACTCTAAATTTCATACGATGATATGTAAATGCCAACTAGATTGTCATGTACGTAGAGTTATTAGTAAAGTTAAATTAGTAGAATAAAATATCATTACTCTTTGAAAACCGACATACATGCATGTGTGAAAATGAAGATTTTAACTTTGGATATTTGTCAATGAGGGGTTGGCCCAAGTGGTAAGAGCTCTGGCACTCATTCGCGGTGATACGGCCCCCACGGCAGCGATTTATCGCTCAAACCCCTAGGCAGCGGATATGCACGCATAACCTAGGGTTTGGAGGCAGCAGTGGCCAAAAGAGGCTTTTTCAAAGGTGGACAAGTGGACTGGATATGCAAGCATAAAAATTTGGGATTGTTTTGACCGTATCTAGTTTTTACTCGGATAATGAAAACCAATATGTGTGTGTGAAATCGAAAAAGATTTTTTTTTTTTTTGGTACAAGAAATCAAAAAAGATCGATTACTTACAAAACCATAAACTATCGAAAAATTCTGAAAATAAGACCAATCGATATATCTTAGTTTCCGTCGACTTCTTCATTTTAGTAAGATAAAAAAAATAAAAAAAAAAGGTTGACTTCAACTATTTTCAAAAAAATAAAAATAAAAGTTCAAAGTAAAAAAACCTTTCAATACACATAAGGAAACTCAATGGTTAAATTTTTGGATTTGGTATTTTTAGTTGAATTATGAAAATCGACGACCAAGTGAAAACTTGGGTCTAGAGTAAAAATTAATCAAGTTAAGTAATCGACAGAATATAGAGGTCCTTGTTTTAATTTTCAACCTATTGCTCGAATTGCCTTTTCTTCTTTATTTTTCAATTAAGAACGGTTTTCTTTGTATTTTTATCATCTGGAGGTGGGATAATTGTTGAGAACGGGTAAAATCACACGGGTGGCTCAACCTTATTTGAGGCCTAAAGAGAAAATTTATTTTGCGTCCTTTCAAAAATTAAAACACCATTGAAATTTTATCACGTGATTTTCTCAAGGTTTCTTCGGTGAAAATTGTTTCATGAATCATCCTAATCAATCTGTTAGGACTTTTCCCCTGTTAATAGTGTAACCAAAGCATATTAAAAAAAAAATTATACTTGGAAAAGTTTCTTTGAGTTTAACCATTGCAGGAATGGATCACATTATCATACTAAAAAAAAATTGAGGTTCTTAATATAATTGAATTACAGGATGAGAAATTGGTTAGGCATGTCGGATGAGAGATTATAAAATTGAGAGAAGTGGGCTCGATTGATACAAATTTTCTCATCATTATTAAAAGCTTCGTAGATATAGACTATAAATTCATCATATGATTTCGATATTACAGTGTTCATCTGATGCATGGCGCCCCTTAACCATGTTACGTACACAAGTATCCATCACAAGGAGTGATTTTTACATGTAAATTAATTATAGTTTCAACACAAATCAGGATTAATTAACACTGGCTTACACCATCTGGAGAGGTTATAATCACAAAACACAAATATCGATGATCGTCGTCTCCGATCCCTTCCCTAGTATCATACCTAAGGGTTCTCCATTTGAGAAGCAGAAATTCAGAGACAAAGCGAGCAAATGACGACCAGGGACAAATAAATGTTCGAACAAAAAACCAGTAAAATTCAAAGGACAAATTAATGTAGCTTATCAGCTACAACTAAACCAACTCTCTCTCTCGCTAATTAACCAAGCTGGCTCTGACTCACGATCCGGAATTGCTCTCGACGATGATTGCAAAAGCTATACCTAATCTAGACATTATTTCATCCGTCTCAAAATAGACCGATTTATACAGTTCTTCTTCAAAACCAAAAAACAAATTAAAGAAAAAACAGAGAAAAGAAGGGGTTCCAAACTGATACCATAAGAAAACTGCATTTTTGGGAAGCACCGGTCGGTTTCATTCTGACTTTTTGTTGGCCTTTTTGGACTTCCTGGGCCCACGTGTAGGACGAAGCTCCGGTAACCATGAATGCAGTGGCTCCAAGAGTACCGCATCCGCAAAACTATACGGCCACGACGTCAGCCTCTTGCTTTTCCTCAGCTCGACACCTGGCGGCCCCTCTGCCGCTGCCCCCAAAGCGGCTGATTCATCCGCCGCCGTTGCCGCCCCTCCTCCTCCCTCGGCGCCCCCATCGCCACCGTCACCATGGTTGGGCTTGGAAGCCCGGGAAGAATCAGCGGCCCGAACATCTTCTCGGGGTGTCCTCCTCTTCTTTGGCGGATTTTCCGAAATCCCACCATCATGATGATGATGAAGGTAACGGGCTTCATCTCTGACCATGCCTACGGGGCCAGGGTTGACAACCGGCGCCACCGCCACGGCCGCCGCTATGTTCATGCCGCCGTTGTTCTCCTCCTCTTCATCAAAAGCAGCTGGTTGGTTTAGATCAATTTCCAAGAGGCGGGAACGGTGGTGCTTAGCCATTGATTTGGATTTCTCAACAAGTTTTTCTGAAAAAAGAGGGATTGTTTTTTGCATGAATGGGAGTCTCTCCACCATGTACACAGAAAGAAAGGGATAAAAAAAATTAAAACTAAAATTGACTCGAGATATCTGTGATTATTACTGATTATCCCCCCATAGACGACGAACAACTGAAAATGGAAAACAAAAAAAAAAAAAAAAAAGGATTTTTTTAAAAAAAAATTGAATAACAATAAATAAATTTCTCCCTTTTTGATCTGAATTCGGCTCACCTGGACTGTGCTGGAGAAGGGGTTATCTCACCGGATTTCTTTCTTGTTATATAAAAGAGGTGCATCGAACAAATTAAAACCGACTCGCTGTACTCTGCCCAATTTTTTTTTTTCTACTTTTTTCCCCAAGCTCTATCTCATTAGCTTTAAGTACACAGTAAATGTTTATCATTTTTTAGTTCTTTTTTTCTTGTCCTCCCCATTTTCTTGGTCATTAATGTTTATTATTATTATTATTGCAAAATATAATATTATGATTGTGTTTAGACTTTAGAGTTACTACTATTGTTTGGTTAGTCTTTGACTACAGTCAAATTTGGGAGTCAAAATCCGTCGTCCAAATAAGGCACAAAATCTACAATTAATATTAATGACAAGTTTTTTTTACCCCCAAAATATACCACCTGTTTCGTGTCCAAATTTATGCATGGATTTTCAGGTGTTGTCTTTGGATGATCATATGATAAAGTTGAAGCAAAAAGGTTCGTGTAAAAAGTGGTTTAATTGACGGGTTTGGCCCAAGTCTTTTTTCATTTAAAAAACAAAGTTTTCGCTTGACATATATAAGATAAAGGAATAAGTCTGGATTATCACCATATGAGATCCTCGTTGTACCAGTGTAACATTTTTTTATTTAAGGGAAAGTGAAGTCTTGGTTTCAAAGCTGAACCCTAGAGAAGGATATATTTGACATTCTTTATAACGCTTTCTTAATCATAACGCTTTTATTTTTCGGCTTTCATAGACAGAAAATCCGAACAAAGAGAGAAATTTGTATCAACTTAAGCCTAAGGAACAAATGCTTCTAGTACCTACATAATCTAAATGTCAAAGTAATTCAACCCAATCAAAGAAAAACGCTAGTAATGTGCATAAACAACGCTACAAATAAACACGTGCAACTTTGGGTTGTCCCGTTAAGACATACCCTAAAACATTACGTAGACCCACTAATGCGAGTAATCAGCCTTTGCAGGATCGGTTTTTCCCTTTTAACAAAGCAAACTCAAATTCATGTGGGTTGAAGGCCAAAAATGCAGGTGAGCATGAAACATTACAACCGCACTCCAGACGGCAGAAATTCAGCACTAATGAGTTCATTTTTGAAGCCCATAACTTGAGATTCATAGCTCGGATTCAGGATGTACACACATTGGCACGTATTCCATACCACGTCTAGGATATGCATGCCTTCATTTCTTAGAAAAAGAAGAACTTTAAGTTGGCAAATCAATTTTAACTAGAGAATAGAGTGAAAAGTGGAAAATGTGCGATTATAATTGATATAATGAAGTTGCTTGATGAGAATAGGAAGTACCTCGTAGTGAAGATGAAACCATAACCTAAAAAGCTTTGATTGTCATTTTCCAGGTTATGTAGTCATACGGCTCCAGGCCAGGGTATGTCTCGTTTTACTTAGAAAGACGACTACTTTAAGTTGGAAAATCAGTTGTAACTGAGAAATTAAAGTGAAAAGTGGAAAATGTACTATCGTAATTGACAAAACGAAATTGTTTGATGAGAATAGCAAATGTTTCGTATTGGGGTCTGCCCATAAAAACAATAGAAGGACCAGTTGTTCCCTTATCATTAGGGGAAGGGTACAGAAAAAAAAAAAAAAAAAAACATGTAAATGTGGGCTTAGTAAAAAGAAACTTGAAAGCTCTTGTTTTGGAATTTCTTTGACTACAGCGACGATAGTAGCCGAGCCGCCGCATTGGTTTTCCCCGCCGGTTGGTGCATGGCGGCCACAGTGAGATTTTAACTTCCGTTAATTGTAAAACAGGTTAAAGTACGCAGTAACTTGAAATGGATGGGGGTTTGTCACTTTGGACCTAAAAATAGTTTTTATAGTTTACCAAAAAAAAGAAAAAGTTTAATACTCTTTTTATATATATATATATATATATATATATATATAACTAGTGATGGAACGAGAATTTTCAAATCGCGGGATCGAAAATAAGATTATTTAACCGTCACCGGAGGGTCGAACTGAAAAAATTTCAAATAACGGACACCCTACTAAGAAAAAATTTAGCCAAATCCGGCCAACCGGGGGGTCGATCGACCACCCTGACCCCCTCTAAATCCGTCACTGTATATAATAGGGGTTTCCTCAATACAATAGGCTTATAGTTTTCTTTAATTACCTAAGGATACATTTAAAACTACACAGATTTTTCAGATATTTTTGTGACAGTTGCATACTGGCATCTATTTTTATTTATTTATTTTTTAAAAGAGAATACTTGCATGTATTACTTCAATAGAAAAACAGTTTCTCACTGTATTCAAATTTTTATAACTTAATATCGGTACTAAAAACAAGTATTTTTTACAAGCAATATGAGTTAATCCTTAACAGTAAATAAAAAATTGTTATACGACTACGGTAACGGAACCAAATGCATGTGCTTTCATATGGAACTCCAGATACATTTCATTAGATCTTTGATATTATAAGGGGGAAAAAAAGAAGAAAGAAAAGAAGATCTTTTCATAATTGGATTAATTTTTATATTATTTCATAATTAGATGCAACGCTTTCTTTCCTTTTGTTTTCTTTTTGGGTTGCAGTGTAAACCACAACTAAAGAACATATCTTTATGCAAAGTCCCATCTAACCGAGCGTGGTAAAATTAGGGCAATTACAGTTTACTGATGCGTGGACTCTTTGGTCAACATTTAATCTGCCTACAAATAAGAACAAATCATATTTCAAGGTTCGGAATAAATGCAAGTCTTCTGAACTTAGTGGCTCGCTTTTCCTCAGGCGGCTGATTGTCTAAAGCAGATGATCCCATTTTGATCCATCTTAAGGACAAGAGACCCGTATTATATGTTGCATATCGCAATATGCGAATGGCACTTGCGACTCGTAAAATAATGCCTTTGAAATAGATTAACAATGATTTCGAGAATATATTGTGAATAAAAACTTTTGTCATTTACCATTTGGGGCACAACATGTTTTGGAGGCTTGTTCAACCGTATTTTTGTTGCATTTACAGGACATAAAGCACAACATATATAGAGTTAAAGATCAATATCCTAACAAACAAGGCCCAACTGCTCTATATATACTAATAATAATTTTCAAAGTACACGCTATGATTTCAAACCATCACCAACAAGACTGGAATATACAAAAAAAAAAAAAAAACTCGAGAATAAACTAGGCCATTGCCAAAACTCAACTTTTATTGTGTTATATATTGTTCCACATACCCAAATACATACTATCGGAGAAATTCTAAGATTCCCCGGTAAATGAATGGTCAATAGTCCTCATAAAGTCATCTGCTCTTTGTCCACTGATTGGAAACTCCAAAGTTACAACAACATTATCAAATAAAACATTATGAACTATGAGTTGGCACTCCTAATATTAGAAATATAAATTGAATCACCAAGATCGGATATAGTTAATTTTTGTAAAATTTATATCCGTAGAGCATGTTATATCGATGGCTTAAAATAAAATAAACACTCAATGGGGTAAGGTGGCCCATTTGCATTATTAACCCCGGTCCCCCAAAGAAAGGGCTTGAGAAGAAGTAACACTTTTTTTTTTAAGAAGAAGAAGAAGAAGAAGGCCATTCGTTAAGTTTACAAACTATGAACACTTTCTCCATCTTTGATATATTTACTTTTATCCAATTTTAAGTTTAAACACAATTACCTTTGTGACTTGTATTCTTTTTTCTTAGATTTTGCTGGTTTTCTGCAAGAATTTTATCGGTTTGGATGTAAAAAAATTTCGCATGCAAACATATTTTCAGCTAAAATTCGCATCAGTTCGTGTATCATAAGTTGATTTATCAATCTTTGGTTTCGACTCTAGTTAAAATAAATTCCTATCATTTCGCCTAATCTCACACGGAATAAGAGCTCGTCGACTATAGTACATTTTCCAATGGTGTAATTGATTGCGATTATTCAGCCCAACTCAGATCGCAATTTTCTATTCAGCTTTTTGCATAATTACTTTTTTAAAAATTATTTATGATAATTACTTTTTGCATAATTACGTATGGTGCACCTGATTTACTAACTACAATGTAAGTTGTACTATCTTTTTAATTCGCATCTTTCAATATTTTTAACAGTAAATAAATTACCATACCTGAAACAAAAACTTCGCCGATGTAAATTTAACCCGGCATCAGTAGCTAATCCATTGGTCAAGAGGTGTTTGTCCATTTTAAGAGAATCCCATAATAACATGTAACATAACCGAAAATAAATAAGTTTTCATAACCCTTACTCGACCGCCGGTGGATCGCAGCCGGGAAATCCTCCTCGTCGGCAGAGAGTTTAATTTAGACCTTACTCATCTTCCTGCTGACTCCACATGGGGTCTCACCGACAAGATCAGCTTTTCCACCGCTAAAGGGGACAAAAAGCGAATATACTTTATGGGATCACTCAAAAAAGGAGTTTTCTTAAACAAACAGAATCTTTGTCGTTGGAAGAAACCGCGTAAATTCTTGATGATTACATAGGCAATTTTATTTTATGTTTGTCATTTTCATTTAAAAGATAGTAAATGATGGAGATGTATTGTATACATACGAAGTACTTATCATTTCTAGTTTATCATTTGAAGGAGGAAATTGTATTTGAATTTTATTATTACACAAGTTTTGTACCAATTCTGATTATTTTAACTGATTTCTGGTGCATACATTTTGCATTAACTTGAAGCAAAATGTTGTAGGATAGACAATTAATAATAATATAATGATTTATATATTTCATAAGCATAGTCCATATTCGTTTATTTTCGACACCTACAATGGTTAAGAAACTAAAACTACAACTCTGCAAAGAAAAAATTTGGAAAAAAAAAGGAAGTAAAAGCTAGTTTTGGAACTGAGACCTTTGGAAAATGTAATGCCTCTAAATAAGAGTTAGTTTCTATTAGTTTTGGTCATGTTTACTGTAGTAGTTTATTAGTTTACTTTTTAATTAATTAGTTAAATTGTAGGTTAGTCACGTTGTTTTATGATGGGTATAGTTTACAAGTAGTGGAAGTTATCCCTAACTTGTAGCTTTTGGAGTCTATTTATTTGTTAGAACTCTTCATATCAAAAACAAGAAGAAAGAAAGAAGAATTTTATTATTTTAAAGTCTCTATCTCCTCTATTTTCTGGAGTTTGATCCGACTCAAATAGGATCATTACAGAAAATATGAGGCAAAATTACACAAAATAGCTTTCACAAAATAGATTCGATTGTTGAATGACAGAGGAAGTTGAATAGTTAGAGATAATTTGTTATAGCAAGATTGAAATAATTTTTGTGAAAACTAAATAAACATTACGAATTGGCCAAATATTTGATTAATTATTAATATGTGATTGAAATATGTATTAATGTGGCCTTTCTTTTTTCTGATGAGTAAAAGGTAAATGATTATTGTATACATTACCAGAAATGATCTGTGAGCCTTCCCCAACATGGGATGAGATGAGAAGTCCTCGTATAATATATGCCATGTGGAGCATTTCGAAATGGTTATTTGATTCCATTTGAAATAACTGTGTAGAGTTAATAAAGTAGTTCTAGAAATGAAATGGATGCTGGATGAACATACAGGACATCCAACATCATGTAGATTGTAGTATCACTGAATTCTGTTAAGACTTGACTCCATCATCATAAAATTGAAATTTCGTTAACTAGAAATGCAATTTAACAACCTATATACTACTGTTTATAAGACAAGAGTACAAAATGAACCGACAAACAGACCCCAATTCCCCAAGATTAGAGACCCTTTTTAATCTAACAATGAAGGAAATTCAGGAGAAAAGCTAGTGAAACTTCCATTAGGTTGCATGCCCAAGTCCCACTAAACCCTTTAGATTAAGCAAAACCCTTACGTAAAATTCTCCTTCACATACATGAGAAGATCACGTGTAGGGAGATTCTTTCCGGTATTGCGATACTTTTTTCTATAATAATCTTTTTATAATTTTTAATAGTACCTTTATGAAATGTAGACAACATTTATTCATTTTCATATAACTAAGAGGTTTGCGCTCAGCGTACTCGTTCCTTGGAACTGAATGTATATTACATTTCCAATTTTATCAAATGTCTCGATAAATTACATTGTCACAAAAAATAAAAAAGAACGAAAAAGATTCAAGGGAAAATGAACCCGGCATCGATTGTGAAATATTCACTCTATCTTAAAATGATTTTTATTTTTGTACTTTTATTTGAATTTTCATAGTATTAAAAATGAAAATTAATTAGAAAATCGTTTTGAAAGAAAAAGGAAGTTCACAATCGTAATAATCGTTGAAGTCTGTTTTATTGAGGAAGTATTGAGCGCTGTTGATCTGTCCTACTGAAGTACCGAGCTATATTCCTCCATAAATCATTATTATTCGTGAAGAAAACTTGTTGGCGGCCGGCGCTGCCGCGTAGCTTCCGCCACCAGTTTGATTCATCCCTGACAAATCTTCGATAAATCCAATGTACTCGTTCTCCAACAACCATCATTAAGTAGAAAGCTAAGAACAAGGGCCTAACGGAAGCCGGCATCAGAAATGTAGCCGTGGTAGCCACCGAAAGAGATGCAGTTAACAACATGCCCCACCGGAGTGCGTCGCATGCCCACCTCGGAATCCGCCCGCGACGACTCCGACAAGCATTAGAAGATAACCTCTGTTCAATGCCATTAGCAAAGCAATATAAGAGCAAACTAATCACGGCCACGGACATGGCGGTGGGGTGTGATTCGAAGGGTGATTTTTCTTTGCCTTGATACTTAAGTTGGAGGAAACCTAGAATGAGGAAAATTGCGAAAGCAAATGCTGCATGTGGCAAAAGATCAGGTCCGGGTAAATTGATCTGTTGGTCTCTTTGAAAGAAGTAGAAAATGCAGAACTTCACCTTGATGAAGGCAGCGTTGAATTGTTGAGAGAATCTACGAATTAGGTAGCCGGTGGTTTGATGATCAGCCATCAGCTAACGAATTGCGGAGCACAGAATCTTAGGAGAAGAGAAAGAACTTGCATTTGATAGAACTAAGCGGGGTATATATAGGTTATACTCCCTTCATTTCAAAATGTAAGTTAGACTTGGAGAGAGTTTTCAAAATGTAAGTCGTTTTAGTATTTCAAGGTAAATGAATGACTATTTTTTCAACTTTACTCTCAATAGATCGTGTCAATCCATTTTTATTTAGTCTTGTTTATAGTTGTAACGTAATCAATGAGGGGTAAAACAGATATTTAACACAGAAATTAATTATTGAATGATTGACTCATAGTTTACTTACAAAATATAAAGTGACTTATATTTTGAAATGAAAGGAGTAGGTATTTGTATCCTAGGTATCCGTGGATGGATCTTTAGAGGCCATGAAATATTACTGTTAAATAAGGATTTGTTAACGAAATTATAATATGTGCGAAACAAAAGTTGTAGTATTTTTTCTTTTTATATTTTTTAATTTCATTCACGTGGTTGGAATATGACTTTGTCGAGATTTTTATCCATATTCGTTTTTCAGGTATGATCTCTTTTATTGTAAAAAAAAAAAAAAAAAACCCAATTTCCTGCAATTATAGAATTTTAACTACGTCATGTGGCTTTTTCAAAAAAAAAAAAAAAAGTCGTGGTGATCTAATGCGTGTCGAGTGTACTTTTGTAGAACTATATGTGACTACGGATAAATTTACTGCCATTGGCTCGCAAAGATTCTGCATCACATTAGCTAGATCTTCCATGTTTTTTATTGCTATAACTATAAGGACTATGTTTTTAATCAGCTCACCGGTTCTATCATTACTTAAAACTTTAGAAAAAAAAAAATAAAAATCGTTTAAGAACCAATAACATGTGCGGAAAAAATTATTTGTAAGGGATACCAATATTCAGATTTATAAAAATTTCACTTCAAAATAGTTGATCAATCGAATTAAGGGACTTTTTGATAGTCTTACGATGTTATATGTTGATACCACATTATATCATCATCAACAATACAAATTTGTAAGGGAAAAGTGCCCAAAGGAGACTGTCACACTACTTCAGTCTCCATGAAATACCAAAAGCAAGTGCACTTTCAAAGACACAACATTTTCTATAAAAACCCTAGCTTTCCCTTAAACTAATCTGAAATTAGGGCAACACTTCACTGATATAACGTGCCACCCTCCTAGCTTTGAAGTGTCATCAATACTAATAGATCTGCCACAGATACAGAGAATGTATTCAAAAGATTCCCCAAGTGCACTACGCAGCAGTACATGGCTTGCTTTCTATAATGACGGCTGACTGTTCTATCTAAAAGCAGATGGTCCAATGAATGCTGATCTTGGAATTTCTAGCAGATGGCCGGAAAGAAGTTTGCACTGACAAAAGTCATTATGATAAGGAATATAGTGGAGATGCCCGAAGAAGGAAAGATACAAGCAACATAATATACTATAGTACAGCCATGTAAGAGTATTATTAAAGAAATCGATTATTGCTGCTTAAATGGACCTTGATGAAGTTGAAGGAACTCGTTATATATAAGTTGATAATTCGAAACTCCATATGCGTATAAAGTTATTTTAAATCTTTTAACAAATTATATTATTTACCGAAATATTTAAACTCAACGTACAGATTTTATTTGAATGGACGCATATCCCACGTTCATATTGGAACTGATTGATTGTGATTTCTTCTTTTTCTTTTTCTTTTTTTTTCTTTTTTGAAAACATTGATCGTTCCAGTTAATTAACTCCTCTCATACGGCAAATATCTCTCGAACATTGTTCTTTCCCAGTCAAAATTCACGCCACTAAATCTCAAAGTATGTATATAATCAATTTGTACGCGTCAAATTATCGTCCTCCCACATGGGTTCCAACATTATAAATAAAAACTCCACCAATAGAATTGGATTAGAAAACAACCTCGTCGGCCGGCCAAAGTTTTCCCTGCTGACTAGAAGTAAATATACCTCCACATGCGCTCGAATCTCACTTTTGCAGCTTTTCCGCGGTTTTGGGGCATGGGGGAGAAAGGGAATATACTCTCTGGGATATCATTTGAAAATATGGAAGGAAGGATCTTTTATTTTATCTTTTATTTTTCTTAATCAAACCGAGAAGACGTGGTACATAGTGCATACGATGATAATTAACCAACTTACTAAGTTCTTGAAGGAGAAGCTAACGCGAAAAGTAACCAAAATGGTTGTGATAGAGTGGAAGGGACTCATTCACCCTTAATCATAGGTCGAGGGTTCAAACCTTATCATGGGCATGGAACAACCTTAAATATTTTAGACAGTTGTCCCACTCATCGAGGTATCTACAATTCAACGAGTTGGATTGGTCAATCTTGTTGACGACAAACACTTTGCAAATATGAAAAAAAAAAAAAATTAGCGCGAAAAGTGATTCAAAGTAACACGTGGGTTCTTCCTCATAATGGAAGACAGGCGTGAAACAGGAAAAGAAAGGGAAAAGGCAAAATATATCTGCCGTATCTAATGTTATATATATATAAATAAGGCAAAATATATTTCAAGAGTTCTGCTTATGATCGATTTTGCATATATTATGTTAAGTCCCTCCCAGCCGTCAATAACGGAACCAGGAAGCAGGCAAGTGGGGCCGCACTTACTTTATTATTTCTGCAAATAATGAAAAAGTTTTAGTGGAAAATTTACATTTAATTAGCTCATTTTGCCCTGCTTCCAAAATTATTACTCCGTCTGTCCCATAATTATTGTCCAGTTTGAGATTTCACTTTCAGTACAATTTGAACTAAAAATGAAAATTCAAACTGGACAATAAATATGGGACGGAAGGAGTATATTTTAGTTATTTTTGAAATTTCGAATCATCTTCTCAAAACATCCTTGCTCCGCTGCTGCTTCCGTCCTATTTTAATCGCTGACTTTGTTGATCTAAATAAAGATATCAACGTGATATTTTTGAATATGAGACCGGAGGGGGTTTGATCTTAAGGATGTAAAATGTTTGAGGATTTCTTCAGTTGCACGGCATTGTTAGTACTAATGTAGCCTGGGTAAAATTAGGTCAGAAGTTTTTGTCATTTTCTTAGTCGGATATCTTTTGTTGGCGATCTAACTTATATCTTTTTTTTTATTATTATTACATGAATCATGAGATCACCTTTTGGTTTCAACTTTCAAGTGCAAATTAAATATTCCATTCCTTAAATAATTATCTATCATATAAGTACAATAAACTAGACGTACATGCCTTTGGAATATGGAGGTAACCACGTATGCGTTTTCTCAACAGGCTTATGTTCGTTTTTTTTTTTTAAATCTTAAATATTCCATACGGGAATTCATCCAAATTTAAAGCAAACAGAATTATAATGACATCCCTCTACCAATATACAAGACTACAAGTCAAAGATATTCATGAGGGTGCGTTATTTGCTCCGTAAAGAGAATAGTGCAATGATAATCTCATTCCTAGTCAAGAAAAGTCGATTCATTAAAGGAATTTACAATTTCCTTTACGATATTTAAGAATATTAAGCAATCGTAATCATATTCCTATTACATTGTTTTTTTTTCTCAAAAAACGGTGGGAATGAAAAAAATAATATTTTTTCAATAAATTTAAAAGTTTTCATTTTTTTTTTAAGACAATGAGAAAGGCCTTTTCGTCATTATTTTCTTGTTGCCACCGACTGAAATTAAACAAATGCTAAAAAGAAAAAAAAGAAACCGGCAGCCGCCGATCAAAGTTCAATAAAACTAAAACAAGAAAAAAAAATCAATGATAATTGATAATGTACGCCATCAAAAAATCCAAAAATAATATATTAACGGAGAACCGAAAATTAGTCGAGATAAAGGACATGGTGAAATATTGATGATAACATAAGGGAAGAGTTAAAATTTATGTAGAAAGAAAACAAGTTTTGAAATTGACTATCTCAACATGATATAGAAGATGACTCTCGATTTGCTCCGTATTGTCATGTTCTGGACTCTTGATTTCGAGTAGGCAAACATCTAAGTTGCTGACTAAAATATATATATATATATATATATATATATATATATATATAAGATACCTACGGTGGAGAAGGATTTTTCAAGGAGTAAATTATAAATAATCTATTTGGAACTACCCATATATAAAGGGAGATTATACTTTTTTTTCAAGGAGTAATTTATAAATAATCAATTTGGAACTACCCATATATAAAGGGAGATTATACTGAAAGTATGGGGGAAGGGAAAAAAAAGGAGGGAGAATTGGGGTGAGAGTATTTTGGGATGCGATAAAGTTTTTGAAATTTTTATTTAATTGATAATAAGATATCTTTAATAAATATTAAATGTAAAAGATTGTTTCAATCCGATCATCACATAACATGTGGCATTTGATTCCTAATTGTCACTTATGTTTTTACTGAACACCGTAATGAAAGTAATCGTAATAACATTTCGATACATCCATTTCCATTACGGTGCAAAGAACGCATCCTGAGCGTTACAATATCAATTTTCACTCCATATCTGTCTCAAAATAATTGTTCAGTTCGAATTTTTGTTTTTAGTATCGTACTTATACTATAAGTAAAAAATCAAACTGCACAATAATTTTGGCACAGAGGGATTATTATTCCTTATCTTTTATAAAAAATAGTTCACATTGTCAATTATAAATTATTCTAAAAACAATACCATCTCTGTCTAAAAAAAATAGTCTACATCACATTGAGATTTGTAGTATCAAAACACAAAGTGAACCATTTTTTTTCTTTGAGATAGTAAGAATAATACAATTTATAATTTATGATGTTGTTAATTCAGTTTCAGTTAATTTCGATTTTTCAATTTTATTATAAAATCAATTAACCAACCGATCGAGCAATCAATTTCACGGTTTTGATTTATTAGTTTTCGGTTTAGTTACTGATTTCTACCGGTTTAACTGAAACTATTTGTCACATATTTCTAACAAAATTGA